TGTAGCCCCCCTCACTTACTCACTCCCTCACTAATGACAACAGTAATGTAGCCCCCCTCACTTACTCACTCCCTCACTAATGACTACAGTAATGTAGCCCCCCTCACTTACTCACTCCCTCACTAATGACTACAGTAATGTAGCCCCCCTCACTTACTCACTCCCTCACTAATGACTACAGTAATGTAGCCCCCCTCACTTACTCCCTCCCTCACTAATGACAACAGTAATGTAGCCCCCCTCACTTACTCACTCACTCACTAATGACAACAGTAATGTAGCCCCCCTCACTAACTCACTCCCTCACTAATGACAACAGTAATGTAGCCCCCCTCACTTACTCACTCACTCACTCACTCACTAATGACAACAGTAATGTAGCCCCCCTCACTTACTCCCTCCCTCACTAATGACTACAGTAATGTAGCCCCCCTCACTTACTCACTCCCTCACTAATGACTACAGTAATGTAGCCCCCCTCACTTACTCACTCCCTCACTAATGACTACAGTAATGTAGGCCCCTCACTTACTCCCTCCCTCACTAATGACTGCAGTAATGTAGCCCCCCTCACTTACTCACTCCCTCACTAATGACTGCAGTAATGTAGCCCCCCTCACTAACTCACTCACTCACTAATGACAACAGTAATGTAGCCCCCCTCACTAACTCACTCCCTCACTAATGACTACAGTAATGTAGCCCCCCTCACTCACTCCCTCACTAATGACTACAGTAATGTAGCCCCCCCTCACTCACTCACTCACTAATGACTACAGTAATGTAGCCCCCCTCACTTACTCACTCACTCACTAATGACAACAGTAATGTAGCCCCCCTCACTAACTCACTCCCTCACTAATGACTACAGTAATGTAGCCCCCCTCACTTACTCACTCACTCACTAATGACAACAGTAATGTAGCCCCCCTCACTTACTCCCTCTCTCACTAATGACAACAGTAATGTAGCCCCCCTCACTTACTCACTCACTCACTAATGACTACAGTAATGTAGCCCCCCTCACTTACTCACTCCCTCACTAATGACTACAGTAATGTAGCCCCCCTCACTCACTCCCTCACTAATGACTACAGTAATGTAGCCCCCCCTCACTCACTCACTCACTAATGACTACAGTAATGTAGCCCCCCTCACTTACTCACTCACTAATGACTACAGTAATGTAGGCCCCTCACTCACTCACTCACTCACTAATGACTACAGTAATGTAGGCCCCTCACTCACTCACTCACTCACTAATGACTACAGTAATGTAGGCCCCCTCACTCACACCCTCACTAATGACTACAGTAATGTAGCCTCCCTCACTTACTCACTCACTCACTCCCTCACTAATGACTACAGTAATGTAGGCCCCCTCACTCACTCACTCCCTCACTAATGACTACAGTAATGTAGGCCCCCTCACTCACTCACTGCCTCACTAATGGCTACAGTGATGTAGGCCCCTCACTCACTCACTCACTAATGACTACAGTAATGTAGCCCCCCTCACTCACTCCCTCACTAATGACTACAGTAATGTAGCCCCCCTCACTTACTCACTCACTCACTCCCTCACTAATGACAACAGTAATGTAGCCCCCCTCACTTACTCACTCCCTCACTAATGACTACAGTAATGTAGCCCCCCTCACTTACTCACTCCCTCACTAATGACTACAGTAATGTAGCCCCCCTCACTCACTCCCTCACTAATGACTACAGTAATGTAGCCCCCCCTCACTCACTCACTCACTAATGACTACAGTAATGTAGCCCCCCTCACTTACTCACTCACTAATGACTACAGTAATGTAGGCCCCTCACTCACTCACTCACTCACTAATGACTACAGTAATGTAGGCCCCTCACTCACTCACTCACTCACTAATGACTACAGTAATGTAGGCCCCCTCACTCACACCCTCACTAAAGACTACAGTAATGTAGCCTCCCTCACTTACTCACTCACTCACTCCCTCACTAATGACTACAGTAATGTAGGCCCCCTCACTCACTCACTCCCTCACTAATGACTACAGTAATGTAGGCCCCCTCACTCACTCACTGCCTCACTAATGGCTACAGTGATGTAGGCCCCTCACTCACTCACTCACTAATGACTACAGTAATGTAGCCCCCCTCACTCACTCCCTCACTAATGACTACAGTAATGTAGCCCCCCTCACTTACTCACTCACTCACTCCCTCACTAATGACTACAGTAATGTAGGCCCCCTCACTCACTCACTCCCTTACTAATGACTACAGTAATGTAGGCCCCCTCACTCACTCACTCCCTCACTAATGGCTACAGTGATGTAGCCCCCTCACTCACTCCCTCACTAATGACTACAGTGATGTAGGCCCCTCACTCACTCCCTCACTAATGACTACAGTAATGTAGCCCCCCTCACTTACTCACTCACTCACTAATGACTAAAGTAATGAAGACCCCGCACTCACTCACTCACTCATTAATGGCTACAGTAATGTAGCCCCCGTCACTCACTCACTCACTCACTAACATAACATTCATCCATTCGTCATCACTCGCCCCTTTCCGTAACCTGCAAGAAGACTCGTCCCCCTATCGATGAATGTTATGTGCGAAAATACGACAAACCAATCAGAATGCGCGTATGATTTCAAGTTCTTCGTCAAAGAATCCCTCAGAAATAATTTTTGATTTTACATATGTCTTGCATCTAAAATTATACCCAAGACACAGTTAAAGGTGTTCAATCATACTGTATAACTTCGCATGTCCCAATGTGCTTTAAATTGCATTTGAAATATATATAATCTATGGAGAAATATATGTGAACCATTACGCAACGAGTTGACAATTGTTTAGGTATTCCCGTTTGCGCTAAGACGGAACCCGGTCGCAAAAATGGCCATGAGGGGGACACGAGTCGCTATTCGGCTTGTCCCGGAATAACACGAGTTGGTCACGAATGAACATTCATCGAGATATGGATGAGTCTTCTTCCAGGTTTCGGAAAGGGGCGAGTGGTGACGAATGACATATTTATGCACAGAGTTGTGTCCCTTTGATCACCTGTCAAACCACACCGTCCCATGTAAACAATGAATACAAATTCACCTGCATGGGTGTATAGCATTGTTTTCCTTGAACATCGCTACGGCAAAGATTTCCTTATCTCCTATGTGTCTGGGATATGACTGATAGAGAGTGTATTGTCCGAAATGAGGTGAATCGTGTCACTATAATACTCTACTCAATACCACAGATTGTTGAAATAACAGATACAAATAGTACATTTACAGAACTCAACCAGTTCACACAGCATCCACACATTATTATATCCGCTGTAGATCACTGAACGCTGGTGATGTTTTATAAGAGTAAAGCGCCTCTTTATAACATAAGGAAATGGGTTGTCGAACTGATAATCTAAAGACGGATAGCATGCGCAATAATGTGAACAGGTTACTCCATGACAACACACGTCAGATATATAGTACACTACACAACACAACATTACTGTTGTATAAACAACATATACCAACAATACTGTCTAGGTCACGTGATCTCTCGTGTAGCGTTGTCCTCATTCAGTACTGTCATTGTGCGTTCCTTTCACAAATGTACTTGAGAAGTACTTCTATCAGGTCAGACTACTACTGGTGCTAGGTCTACTTGAGAAGTACTTCTATCAGGTCAGACTTCTACTGGTGTTAGGTCTACTTGAGAAGTACTTCTATCATGTCAGGCTTCTACTGGTGCTAGGTCTACTTGAGAAGTACTTCTATCAGGTCAGACTACTACTGGTGCTAGGTCTACTTGAGAAGTACTTCTATCAGGTCAGACTACTACTGGTGCTAGGTCTACTTGAGAAGTACTTCTATCAGGTCAGACTACTACTGGTGCTAGGTCTACTTGAGAAGTACTTCTATCATGTCAGACTACTACTGGTGCTAGATCTACTTGAGAAGTACTTCTATCATGTCAGACTACTACTGGTGCTAGATCTACTTGAGAAGTACTTCTATTAGGTCAGACTACTACTGGTGCCAGGTCTACTTGAGAAGTACTTCTATCAGGTCAGACTTCTACTGGTGCTAGGTCTACTTGAGAAGTACTTCTATCAGGTCAGACTACTACTGGTGCTAGATCTACTTGAGAAGTACTTCTATCAGGTCAGACTACTACTGGTGCTAGGTCTAGTTGAGAAGTACTTCTATCAGGTCAGACTACTACTGGTGCTAGATCTACTTGAGAAGTACTTCTATCAGGTCAGACTACTACTGGTGCTAGATCTACTTGAGAAGTACTTCTATCAGGTCAGACTACTACTGGTGCTAGGTCTACTTGAGAAGTACTTGTATCATGTCAGACCTCTACTGGTGCTAGGTCTACTTGAGAAGTACTTCTATCAGGTCAGACTTCTACTGGTGCTAGGTCTACTTGAGAAGTACTTCTATCATGTCAGACTACTACTGGTGCTAGGTCTACTTGAGAAGTACTTCAATCAGGTCAGACTACTACTGGTGCTAGGTCTACTTGAGAAGTACTTCTATCAGGTCAGACTTCTACTGGTGCTAGGTCTACTTGAGAAGTACTTCTATCAGGTCAGACTACTACTGGTGCTAGGTCTACTTGAGAAGTACTTCTATCAGGTCAGAATTCTACTGGTGCTAGGTCTACTTGAGAAGTACTTCTATCATGTCAGACTTCTACTGGTGCTAGGTCTACTTGAGAAGTACTTCAATCAGGTCAGACTACTACTGGTGCTAGATCTACTTGAGAAGTACTTCTATCAGGTCAGACTACTACTGGTGCTAGATCTACTTGAGAAGTACTTCTATCAGGTCAGGCTTCTACTGGTGTTAGGTCGTCCTATATTCAATCAATGACATGATGGACTACGTGTGTAAGGGAAGAACTGGATCCGATCTGGACCTAAAGCAGGAGTCAACTTTAGAAAGATTCAACTGTGTATTGAGATCCAAGTTATCTCTATTACCATATTCAGCGTCTGCAGAATTTGAACACTTCTACATATCTTCTGGAAGTAACATACAGCAGGCCGTCAGCATCAAGACAGACACCACCAGGATATTCCAGACCATCCTGTTGTGTGAGGACAACTCTGACAAACTGTCCCGACTCTGTCAGCTGAATCACCTTTTCGGCGTCATAGTCTGCAAGCAGGATATCTCCTGTGCTGGTTGTTGTGATACCCCGAGGATTTGTCAGAGCTCTGACTTCTCGGGGCTTGTAGGTGAAAACAGCGTCTCCTTCACTGGTCACATGTACAAGGGATTTTACTGCTTCTTCACTGACTATCAAGTTGTTGTTTCTGGTGACGTGGATGTGGCCTGGATTCCCTATCACCCCCGTGTTGATAGACCTCAGTCTCCTCCCTGTCAGGTCCAGTATGTCCACACAGTGAGACTGTCCCCATGTACCTGCCGCCAGCTGTGAAGGACTCAGACAGGCTAGAGCGTAGCTTTCTTGTTTTGATAGTTGACAGTAATACAGGATCTGGGGTAACATTCACTGTAACTATTTCCTTACTGTCTGGAACACTGACAGCTATCTGACTCTCACTTAACTTGGCTATTTGCCAAGGATAATTAGAAAGCAGAAGCTGATTATCAAAGGATTTGAAGTTTGATGTGTAATATGTTTTGAGTCTCTTGTTATTGTAATCTGCAACTACCATCACTTTCGCGCCATCAACAGTCAACACTGTGACGTCACACAACCAAGGATCCTCCCCGTCCCCATCTTCCATGCAGTCACACAGTCCTCCATCTCATCAGCCATCCCTACAGCACAGCAGATGGATACAATACGATACATGGGACAAGTCTAGGGACAGCTAGAGTTATTTTTCACACACTGAGCAAGTAGGCTGGTCCAGTATGAAGGCATTAATCTGACAACCACATGACAACAGCCACAGTGAACAAAGAATTCTTGGACTCATTTGGTCGTCTATTGTCTTTAAATTCAAGAAACTGTTAACTACTACCTGGGTCACTTGCACAGAGCGACCATTGCGTGAAGACCATCGTCATCGTAACTCTCATACTTTAACACAGACTTACAATGGTCTTAGGGCTAAGACAAACGTAACTCTCATACTTTAACACAGACTTACGACAGTCGTAGCGCTAAGATCAATTTGTGGATCGGGACCCAGGACTGTAACAAGACACCACACATAAAATATCATAACCAAAATGTATCCTTGACAGTACATGAGCTCTGTTCCACATGTCTACTGGTCTTAGTCACATTACAACAGTCCAACAAAAGTCACGATATTAACAAACACAACGAGCAAAACACGGCGACTCCAAATCCAAGTCCTAGAGGCAAGGGCGAACATTGTCTTCTCTCAGCGTTAATTCCTACCAAGTTGCCTTGTTTTGTTATTCATGACAACAACATGATAACTATGAAGATACACACACTTGAACTGGAGTTAGTTCAACTAAATCTGATTGTATGTAAAAGTATTCGGGCTGGCTATCGATACAGATCATAGAGATCGATAATTGTTAACGAAATATTGATCAATTATCGATAAATATAAGTAACTTTAAGCAAATACGCAAAAAAGAGTCTGAAAGAAATCAACATATGTCACCCTACTGGTGAGTGGTGGCACATTTATGCAGGGATTACTTTGTGGACATTTGAGATGAACAAAACAGTTACTTTCCATCTTCAGCAATTGACATTATTGACAATAACAAGTCTGTTTTGGTAAATCTAATCTTCTTTTCATCCAAAAAGTTTTTGTTGATTTTATCAATTTTCATATCGATAATCATTAATATTTTTTCTCTTCAATTATAATTCTGATTATTGATCTTTTTTGCCAGCCCTAAAAAACACACCATTTTAATGCAATTGTACATTATTTGAAATCCATTTTCAAACTGGTTTGGTGCTCTTTAATTTTCTAATCTAGCATTTGGCACCTCTTGATCTCAGCTTGTATCTGACCTGAGACACTCAGAATATCGGTTGTGAAATGTACAGTTCAAGGGTCATCATGAGGTCACAGAAGCAAGACCTGGAAGCAGTTTTGTCTTGTTTCAGCCACGATGACCTGTGGTCAGTGTTGACCTCTCAGGGGGAGGCTGTGATCCCCTTCAGGGCAAGCTCCTCCTTCACTCCCTTCAGGTAGTCCGGGTCAGGGTAGCCGTACCTGGAACAGATGCACCTTAGAGCTGCAACACCAACTTACAAACCTCTAACTGTGTCACTCTGTTATAAATACAGGTTTGACTTTTCTGGGGTAAACCTGCGAAGGAGTTATTCCCTCAGTATGCCCGGGTAAGCAGGCATTCTGTGAAATTTAACGTTTTATAAACTTGCCTCTTGATGTGAACACAATTGTGTTGATGATTGGTTAAAAGTCAGAAATTTGTTTTAAACATGAAAATTCCATGAGGTGAATAGAACCTGCAACCTCACATATCGTGTCAGGTTTTGTAAACCACTGTTTTCCCACTGAGCTACTGGGGCAGGTGATGAGAATTTGTTCAGATTATCCTGTCATGACTCTAGTTAGTCCAGGCTCCGCGTGTTTTTTCTCACGCACGCTTTGAGCGAATTCCTTTTATACCCTGCTACACTGTAATGTTTCACTATAAGATATGTCAATGTTTTCTCATTTTTCCTGGTATTTCTTGCATTTAGACGGTTCATAAGTAGGATATAAACTCCCCCCTCGGTCTTGACGGAGAATGTGAGCCCGGGGAGTCAGGAAATTGGGTCAAGCCGAAGACCCGGATTCGATTCCCCACATGGGTACAATGTATTAAGCCCATTTATACACTGAAGCACATGCTACATGTGGTGTCTCCTTAGGAAAGTGACTTATCTAAAAAATATGCCTCTGTTCACCTGCAGTGAATGGATACACGGTAGGATGAGATGGTGATGTGACTGTTAACCAATCTAGCACCTCATTAGGCAGCTTGGTTGTATTCTCCCCAGGGGGCTGAGAATGTAGTTTGAGTGCACGCTAATCCAAGACCTGGGTAATAACAATGCAGTGGCATTAGGGCTCACTAGGTGAATGGAAACTGGCGCATTATTGATGGACTTTCCATTATTCTTAATTATGACCTCCCACCTAGTGGTGTAACGATACATCGAACTATCGATTGATTGCGATTGCTCGTCTCACGATAGTACACTATCGATTGCAACTTGAAACAATCGATACTATTGGCGATAGTTTGTCTAACTATCGATAGTTTCGATACTTAATTTGTTTGGTACATTTACTTTCTTAAAAAAAACAGAAACAACTCCTATGATCATCTAACCTCTGTCGTGCTTTCGTTTGGATTGCACTACTTTGACTGCTTGATTTAGAGTTACGTCCCTTAGCTACTCGTCGTTAGGCAACATTGACAAGATGGCGGACGCCACATGTCAGTTTTTGTCAACTTTGTTTCCTAATTGATATGTTGAATTGCATTTAGTCATTCAGTGAATGTCAATGTGACAATTAAAGAGTTTTACAGTTTGTATAGTCAAATACAAGTCATTCAATCACATTCATACGCATTGGTACTAAAACACTGCAGTAACCTAAGACTTTACCAGTTACATGAAGTGAAATTTTGTATTAACATGTTTTTGAGAGGTCAATTTGAACTTGTTTTCTTCTCATTTCTTGTTTTCTTTACAAATAGTATCAGAAAGTTATAATTATTTTGATGGTGTCAGTCAAAATGCTGAAATATATGCTGCTAAAGCCTGCTATAATTGCAAGTGAAAACTATCGCAATAGTATCGCAATAGTAGGGCCACTATCGCATTAGTATCGCTATAGTTGTTATAACTATCGCAATAGTATCGCAATAGTAAAAAATGCCTCAATAGTCACCCCTACTCCCACCCCCATGTATATACATGCCACCGTGCCTCAGTGGATAGATTGAGTGAGTGAGTATGGTTTTACACCACTTTTAGCAATATTCCAGCAATATCACGGCGGGGGACACCAGAAATAGGCTTCACACACTGTACCAATGTGGGGAATCAAACCCGGTCTTCAGCCTGACAAGCGAATGCTTTGACCACTAGGCTACCCCAGCATGCCTCAAACACATGATCAGTTATACTACACTTTGCAAATCACCAAAGTACCCCCAGAAAATAGACTTCCAGTGTGATTACCTCAACATTCTCATGGTATCACAGCCTTTTTTTTTCTATTTTGATCTTTATCAAGTTAATCATGACAAGGGGTGGTCTGGTGGTTAAAGCGTTCGCTCATCCCGCCGAAGACCCGGGTTTGATTCCCGACATGGGTACAATGTGTGAAGTCCATTTCTGGTGTCCCCTGTCGTGAAATTGCTGGAATATTGCTAAAAGCAGCGTAAAACCTCACTCACTCACTAATCATGACAAACCCTTCCCAATGAAGCCCTGAATTGTGAACAAAAATCTTTAAAGGAATCATTAGTTAGGACTTACTCTGAAGACCCCCCTTTCATACTCGTCTTATGATGTATGTCGTTCCAGGTGATGACGCCACAGTGGCCTGTAGTTCGAGAGTCTCCGATGGTGAAGGTGACACCAGCATCGAACGCCTTGTACAGCAGCCTCAGTACCTCCCATCCTTCATCATTGTACGGTAGGTAGGCTGTTCTATGAATGCCGGAGTACCTCCTGCCAGGATCTGGGTGATCGGACTGCAGTGACATAAAATATTGTCAAGGCACTAGAGCTCACCTGGATGTGTAGTCTAAAAAGTCACAAAGCCAGCCACTCAACGAAAAATGTTGTAAACATTGATAATAAATATTTTCTGCATAAATACCGTGGACTAAAACCATAAAATGTTTGAACAAAATATGATGCAGATATGCTTTGTTTGTTTGCACTCATCAATATTCCAGCTATATATGACGGCGGTCTGTAAAATAATCGAGTCTGGACTGGACAATCCAGTGATTGACATCATGAGCATCGATCCACGCAATTGATGACATGTATCAACCAAGTCAGCGAGTCTGACCACCCGATCCTGTTAGTCGCCTTTTACGACAAGCATGGGTTGCTGAAGACTTAATTCTACCCCAGAATCTACACAGGTCTGCAGATGTGCATTTTGATAGACATAGAACTTAATATCAAAGTTATAAACACTCCCGTTTAAGTAACATCCATCTTCCTGAGGCAAGGGAGTTAGCGGACTGTAAAAGTCCTGTTTCCACCCTTGCCGAACTAGACTGTAATTATAGAGTTAAATTTTAGCTGGACTAATGAGCATGATGAGTCCATGCTAAGTCCAAAGTGATATGAGAGGTGGAGTATGATTGGCACATAGAAGGGACATAATTCGTAATATCCAGTGGTGTTCCTACAATCGAGCTCAGAAGTTCCAGCCTAGTTCAGCAAGGGTGGAAACTGGACGTTTATAGTCAGTTAATTCCCTCACCTCAGGAAGATGAGTAACATCATTTCCGGTCTGGGAAACTATGAGGACAACTTTGAAACAGAAAGTCCAAAGCTTC